GGAAAGTTCAACGGCCCTCGGAAACTACCTCGAATGGCGCGCAAGGAAGTGCTGGGACTCCTTTCTAATTAATTTGTTGATTAGAACCATTTCTATGCTACAGAAATCCTCTATGCTACAAATATGCTAAGTTAAACAGTCCTTGGATGAGAAACCCTAACAGTTATTTATCTTCAATGCAGTTTTAGTGCTGACAGGGTGCATTGCACTATGATAATGTCTACAGTAATAATTAAATAGGATAGTAAAATGTCTGATACGATTAAGAGGACCTACAGTCAGTCCCATAAATATTTGTACCTTCCTATGGGGAGAGATTTGTTTAAATTAAATGGTAGATTTGACGTTTCCAACTGCATGTTAACGTATTCATATACATATTTATAATGAAAAATTCATTTGAAAATATTAAAACTATTATTAACTTCTTTAATAGACATATTTATGGGATTGCCTGTATGTCGAAAAACACACTCCTTAACAATAATAACAAATTCAATAATATTCAAAGAGTTAGCCAACATATGTCTGGTCCATGCCAGCTGAACGTCGTTCGTCAAACTGCGTCTAGAAAGTTTGAAGCACGTCTTTCGTCGAGTCAAAATGTTCCTCGTCTCCAGTCTAATCTCCCATATTTTAAATTTCGTGCCATGCGACCTACTTCGAAAGGAACCTGTCATTTTCCCCGCGGGTATCCTGACAGGATAATGAGCCATCCCGCGCAGCATCGGGTTGCGTTAGGCGAAATGAGGAAAACGAGTTGACGCGATACCTCGGGCGATCGTCAGATGCCACTGGAGGGTAAATTAAATTCTACCCTGGTCCGGCATTCGGGATGCTAGGGGCTCGCCGCCCCAGAATAGGGGTAGAGAAGATACTGCCTACAGTGATTTGATAGTCTAATAAGAAGCTGAGAAATCTAGGGTTCTCTAACGAAAAAGAAATTGATCGATAGCAATTCTATCTCGAATTAATTTCTACACTGGTAAATCAATTTCTCCAGATGTATGTATTCTATCGCTTTAAGAAATGATGAATGAATACAGAAGATATTCTCGACAAATATTTCTCAGCAAGGAACACTATACGGTGCTCCCTCGACTTTCTAAAAACTCAACAGCCTAAACGCTCACGTGGAACGCACACTTCCGCCCCGGTGAGAAGTCCCCGAGAGCATCTCGAGTTTTGCAGAAATGCGCATCGCTCCAGAAAAAAAAAAAAACTGATCCCCGCATTTCGAGACAGATCGTAAGAACGATCTCCCACGAGACGAACAATGCCAAAAGCCATCGAAGGCAGTCAAAACTCCCCGGCGAACGAACGGCCGCGCAATGGATCAATATGAACCACTCGATATCCATGAATGGCGATTCTCTCGGACGCTCGCTGGAAAGGAGAGGGGCTGGGGGCAAAAAAAATTAGACAGAAATGACCGGATGTGGATAATCCCCGGGGCTACCCACGGCTGGAAGCCGTAACAGGGAGTAGAATGAAGAAAAAAAAAAAAAAAGGGAAGAGAAAGGAGAGCATAGGACGTCGCTGAAAAATGGACGACGCACGTTTCGCAGGGACGAGGAGATACGGCGCTGAGATCCTGGCCGACGGCTAATCCTGTTTTGAAAACTCGGTCTCGCATGACCGTGACAAACTCGACACCTCGAGATAGTTTATGGCGATGGTCCGATCTCCGCGTCGCCATTATCTTCGGTCCGCCACGAAGTTTCGCTGTTAAGCGAAGAAATCGTCGGGCTATCGGCAACGCAACTTCGCGTCTCACCTTCGTCCATTAATTGGCACGGTATCTACGGAGCGCAATCGGATTTCAACGGCGGCCGTTCAATAAGCAGATATCGGTCGTTCATTTTTTTACGCGCCTTTGATTCACCCGGTTATTAATCTTCCTTTGTGCCGGTGGTTGGATTTGATAAATACTTTGCGCCCGAACGTAGACCCGATCTTGATGGAGCGCGTCCGGGGAGCGGTTCGCTTCGCCGCGGTTCACCGCTGGCTGAAGGTAATTAATTAGCCGATAGGGTTGAGGAATCGCTGACATGAAAGTTGAGGCGAAGCATTGACGTGTTTCTGGGATTGCGAGTAAGGTATTAATGGATGCGGCAAACTTTCGTGGAGATTCTTCCTTTACGTCGTGTGGAATATGAATAATAATATACGATCGAAGTAATAAATGATGTAATCGAGGAAAATAGAAATTGCTTTCTTCTTGTCTGAATGGAATAAAGCTGAGAACAATTTAACTGAACTTCCGAGATCGACTTCTACCACATGTACACCTTGAAGAGTGACTATGTATTAATCGATGCATTGATTTTGATTTTTGATTTTGAAATAATGATAGCTCCGATCGGGCTGATTTTTTTT